CCCCCAGAGACCCCCAGAGCCCCCCAGAGACCCCCAGACACACCCAGACACACACAGACATGCACCTGGAGTTGAGCAGGAAGCGACAAGAGAAGGAGATGACAATGAGGATGATCAAGTGGTAGAGCTTGAATTTCTCATACTCGTCTTTGTAAGCAAACCTGGGGCGGGGAAGCGACAGGCATTCCCACTCATGGGTGGGCAGGTGGAACAGTGGGGGGGAGCCCTCCCTTCTCCACTATGCTGGAGGTCCAGAACCCCAAGACCACACCAACCAAAGTCAAAGGTGGTTGGGAAAGCCAGAGTGAGGCCCAACCCCATACCACCACCACATACTTGGCCTGCTTGCTCAGAAGTGTCACGTTGACATTCCCCAGAACCAGACTCAGGTACAACCTAAGGGAGAGAAGATGGCTGAGTGACAGACAAACACTACAGTCTAGAGCCTGTCGTCTTCCCCATGGACTTGGTATACTCCAAGCTTAAGAGGTGCCACTAGCCAACCACACATGGTACTCCACCTCTCCCCCTGCCTGCACCAGAATCCTGTCCTTGGGGTAAACAGTGTCTCCAGCCTGCGGTGTTTTGTCTAGGATCTCCCAGTGTTGGCACCTTGAGAGCCCTGGATGTCCTTCCCCATGAGAAACCATCCCACTCCAAACCATTCCTCAGGTGTGAGTAAGCATGGGGACTTGGCATCTGGGCAGATGTTCATCTAAGAAACTCAGCCCTGCATCCCCGTCAGTGCTTCCCATACATAGCCACACACTGGACCTCACTCCCAGCTCAAGGGCCTCCCTTCAAAACTCCAGCTGGAAGAGATGGCTCAGCTGGTAGAGTGCTTGCCTAACACCCAGGAGGTCCTGGGTTCAATCACAGGCACCACATAAAAATTCACACCTGTAATCCCAGTTCTTAGGAGGTGGGAGCAGAAGACCAGAAGTTGAGGCTAGCCTGGGCTACAAGAGACCCTGTCTCAAAAATATACCACCAAAACCAACAAACAAAACCAGGCTCCTTTTCTACTCCTCCCACTAATGAAGTTCATGTGTCCTCAGAGAACTCCAGGTGTGACAGCAACACAGTGTCACTTACTAAGCAGCCGCACCCAGTACAGAGGCTTCTGTCCCCACTCAGGCCTCAGCATGGCAGAGATGCCTGAGGCTACAAGGGAGGCTGAGAATTTGAATGGAGCCTCTTCCTAGCTGTCTTGGTCAGGGTCACCATTGCTGTGATGAAACTGGGCTGTTTGATTGGGCTATCAAAGCAACTTGGGAGGAGAGGGTTTCTTTGGCTCACATGTCCTGGATTGCCATTCACTGAAGAAGTCCAGGCAGGAACTCAAGCAGGGCAGGAACCTGGAGGCAGGACTGATGCAGAGGCCATGGATGGACTACAGCTTACTGGCTTGCTCAACCTACTTTATTATAGAATTCAGGACCACCAGCCCAGGGATGGCTCCACCCACAATGCTCTGGGCCCACCCACAGCAATTACTAATCAAGAAAATGCCCTACAGGCCTGCTTACAGTTTGATCTTAAGGAGGCATTTTCTCAGTTAAGGTTCCCTCCTCTCAGATGACTCTAGCTTGTGTCAAGTTGACATAAAAACTAGCCAGGACAACCGACCCATTATCAACTTAAAACTAACCTTTCCTTTCTTGTTCATCCCCAAGATCTCATATTAATAAATATCATAATACAAAACATAATTACCAACTTAAAATTAGTACAGACTTTACAAACTCAAACACTTCAAAAGTCAAGCTCTTTAAAAAATTACAAAGTCTGGGCGGGCAGTGGTGGCACATACCTTTAATGTCAGCACTCAGAAGACAGAGGAAGGAGGATCTCTGTGAGTTCAAGGCCAGGCTGGTCTATAGAGCGAGTTCCAGGACAGCCAGGGCTACACAGAGAAACCGCCTTGAAAAATAAACAGAACAAAACAAAAAAATTACAAAGTCCCTTTTAAAAATCAAAAGTCTCTGTAAAACTCCAAAGTCTCTCAACTATGGGCTCCTGTAAAATCAAAATACTCCTGTAAAATCAAAATAAGTTAAATACTTTTACTTCGAAGAAAGAAGAACCATGGTTCAATAACAATATGAATAAAACCAAACCAAGCTCCAACTGTGTAAATAACTCAGTATCCAATGTCTGGGATTCAGTTTTCTGAGTTCCACAGAAGGGCCTGGGTCACTTCTCAGGCTCCACCATCTTCAGCCCATGCAGACAGTGTCCTCAGCTCAGGCTGGCTCCACTCCAGGATTCCAGGGGCTTCCTGGGTGATCATCTCATGGTACTGTCATCTCCAAAATGCTGCGGTCTCCTGATATAACCGGGCTGCACTTTCACCAGCAGCCTCTCCCAGGTGCTCTATGTGGTGCTAAGCCTCAACTTCTCTCTGTGACCCCTTCAATCCTGGGCTTCAACTACTGAGGCTGCAACTTCACCAGAGGCCTCTCCTGGTGTCTCACAGTGCCAAGCCTCAGCTGCTCTCTATGACCTTTTCATGCCTTTAAAACCAGTACCACCTGGGTGATGCTTACACATAACCAAGTACAGCTGCCATCGTGAGGTACAACCTTGGCCGCCTCCAGAACACAACTTCCTTGTGCTGACTCTAGGGAAACACTTCCCAGAAGATTTCACCTCAGTGATGCTGGTCTCTTCCTAATCAACACTAATTCTTCAGCCCTGGCTAACCAGAACTACGGAATCTTAATTCTAAATAGCAAATATCCATGACAGAGTCTTTTTTTAAAATTAGTCTTTATTTTATGGGTATGGGTGTTTTGCTTGCAGGTATGTCATTTGTTTGGTTGTTGCCTTAAAGGCTAGAAGAGGGTATCCAATCCCCTGGATCTGGAGCTATGATATGGACACCACTGCCATGTGGTTGCTGGGAATTGAACCTGGGTCCTCTGTAAGAGCAGCCAGTGCTCTTAACCACTGAGCCATCCCTCCAGCCCTGATAGTGTTTACATCTCCCCCTGAACTTCACAAGCCAAGCCTTCATCGTCCTCACTGCTCTCAGCGTTATCTTCCCAGCTCCGACAGAACAGCCCACTGAGCTCTCAACACTCAAAGGCTTTCTAGCCTAAAGTTCCAAAGTCCTTCTACAATCTCCCCCAAAACAACATGCTCAGGTCTGCCACAGCAATACCCCACATCCTGGTCTTAGTCAGGGTTACTATTGCTGTGATGAAACACCATGAGCAAACACAGTTTTGAAGAGGAAAGGGTTTACTTGGCTTACATACCCTGACTCACAGTCCACTGAGGGAAGACAATGCTTCCCTCATTGTGTGAGACAAGAACTCAAACCATATGAAAACCTGGAGGCAGGAGCTGATGCAGAGGCCATGGAGGGTGCTGCTTACTGGCTTGCTCCTCATGGCTTCCTCAGCCTGCTTTCTTATAAAAGTCCCAGGTCCACCAGCCCAGGGATGGCCCCACCCACAATAGGATGGGCCCTCCCCCACCAATCACTAAAATACCCTACATTAGAGCTGGGTGTGGTGGTGCACGCCTTTGATCCCAACATTAGGGAGGCAGAGGCGGGTGTATCTCTGAGTTCAAGGCCAGTCTGGCTACAAAGTGAATTCCAGGGCAGCCAGGACTACACAGAGAAACCCTGACTCTAAAAACAAAAAGAAAGGAAGGGAGGGAGGGAGAGAGAGGGGGAGGAAGGGAAGGATAGGAAGAAAATGCCCTGCAGGCTTGCCTACAGCCTGATCTTATGGAGGCATTTTCTCAATTAAGGCTCCCTCCTCTCAGATGACACTAGCTGTATCAAGTTGACATTAAAAACTAGCCAGGACACAAACTCATTGCCAACGCAGATCCAGCCTCACTACCCAGGGCACTGATCATGTTTTGCAAGCACTCTACCAATTCAGCTACATCCCCAGCCCTTGGCTTGGTTTTAGATTTTATTTTTTTGTATGTATGGGTGTTTTGTCTGCATGTTTGTATGTGTGCCATGTGTGTGCCTGGTGCCCACAGGGGCCAGAAGGTGGTGTTGGATCCCCTGGAACTGAAGTTACAGACAGTTTTAAGCTACCATGTAACTTCTTAACCATTAAGCCATCTGTCCAGCCCCTTTGGTTTATTTTTTGAGGGAGGGTCTCACTCTGCAGCCTTGGCTGGGCTGAAACTCATCACGTTGATCAGGCTCACTCTGAATCCACTATGTAGTCAAAGAGGACCTTGGATTCTCTAGCCTCCTGCCTCGGCTTCCAGAGCGGTAGGACCACAGGTGTGTACTAGTTCACTACCTCTGGAGATGACTCAGGCAACCCAACACCACGTGTGGGTTACATGTCCATCACTGAGACCCCAGTTCCCTAAACCCTCCCCTTGGAGCTCCCATAACAGTGAGCTGTCAGACAGCCAGGCCGTCAACAGGGCCCCCTTGGCTGATTGAATGACAGAGACACAGTTTAGGGCTTCACATCCCTAGAACAGGAAGAAGGAAGGGCTCACCCATTCTTCTTAGGCAAATAGGCTTCCATGTCAAAGAAGAGGCCTTGGCGCTCCTTCATCTGGTTTTCCAGGTCCTGTGCGGCCTCTGCAGACTCGCATGAGAGAGAGGGCCTGCATCTGGGAGTACGGCAGGAGTCAATCAGAGCAGGCGGGGAAGCCCGGGTCCTGCAGGAACCCCAGTGGGAACCCTTTGGGACAGAGAAAGGAACAGAGCCCAGGGAGTGGAAGAGTGGAAGAGCCAGGCCAGGGTGAGCCAGTGGCAACCCGCCCCCTAATTCACCAGCGCCCACCCCATCGGGAGGTCACCCCACCCTCACCTTTTCAGCACCAAGGCCAGCTCCTGGAGCCTTTTCTTCTGGCGTGTGATGGAGTTGGTACAGTTGTCCTGGAGTTTGGTGAGCTCCTCTAGCTTCAGGCGGTACAGGCGGTGTTTTTCCTAGGGTAAGGCATTAGCTTGACTGTGTAACTGCCTGGGCTGGGAACCAATCCTGAAGGTAGAACTTTCTGTGCTTGCCCCTGAGGGTTCTTCCTATCAGACCCTCTGTGATAGGGTCTGGCATTATCTTCAAACAGTCCAGCAGTGGTTCTCAACCTTCCTAAGACTTCGACCCTTTAATACAATCCCTCATGTTGTGGTGACCCCAACCATAAAACTATTTTCATTGCTACTTCATACACTACAATGTTGCTACTGCTACAAATTGTCATATAAATATTACAATTTTATATTGTGTTTTCCAATGGTCTTAGGCGAACCACCGGTGAAAGGGTCATTTGCCCCCTAAAATGGGTCTTGACCCAGAGGTTGAGAACCACTGCTCTAGACCAAAGGGGCAGCCTGAATTCACCCCCAACTTTCTCAGTTCCTCCTACTCGCCTAGCCTGAAAGAATGGAATACAGTGGTTATCCATGATGCCTTCTACCCAGGCATTCCTGATGTTTCCTCTTGGGTCAAAGGTCACAAGACTTCCAGTGCTCAGGCCAGTCCCTCCCATCCACTCCCCTCCTGCAAGCACCTTTGGCCCAAGCACTTTGCCCTGGTGGGTGAACCTTGCAACCTAAAGACAGGGCAAGGGGCAGTGTGGGGAAATCACCGCAGAGGCCATCGTAGTGATGGCAAAACTGGGAGATTTAGGCTGTCTAGACCTCTAGAGAGTTCTAACACCAGCAGGCTGGAAAGGGTTGGCAGATGCAGTGGAGACATGAGGCTGGGCACAGTCCAGCAGAGGCAAAGGTCTAACCTAGTCTCCAGTTGGCCAGGCTCCACTATTTGGGTCTGTTTCTCATGCCACACAGGGCTGCCACAGCCTCCTTAGGCTCTAGCATATGCCACCTCTGGCCAGTGATGGCCTTCCTGGAAGCAGCAACTTCCTTCTCTCTAGTATAGGGACAGAGAGGACACAAACAACCCCAACCTGAACTGGGAGGTTTTCCAATGGTCTCAGACAGACTTTGCCAAGCCA